TAGGGGATCGATCGTTTTCCAAACTCGCTCTTTGGTAAACTCACCGAGATATTCCAGTAGCTTAAGCGATAGAACAAAGTGTCCTAATCCTCACAAAGTTGATTCCATGTTTTCGCGCCATGGGCAATATCATCGATATAAGAACTGCGTCTTAAACTTGGACCAATATATGAAGGCATGGGAATATTCCTTTGGAAAACAGTCATTGAATCTGTGAGTCTTTTCACCTCGTCTTTTGGATGTTCACTTTAAGATTCTTGGTTATCTGTTGGGTCCAGACCCAGAAAGTCTAAGACGTCTTGATCGACTTCTGCTTCTTCTTCCGGAGGCAGTCTCACAAATCCCCACAGACAATTGTTGGTAACCGACTGGTATATCAACGGCGCATTATTGAGTCCGAATGGCATGCAGGCCCATTGGAAGTGTCCAAATGGACAGACTAACGTCGATATCAGCTTTGCTCGTTCAGATATCTTGACCACCCAAAAGCCATTCGCCATATCCAAACTCATAAACCTCATGACATCCTCAAAGTCAACCAGCAGATTATCTATCAACGGTAGAGGGTAATTGGACAACGTATTGAAAATATTGACAACTCGGTAGTCAACACACATTCGGATATCCACACCATTCTTCGTGAGGACAATCACAATGAGTGATGCCCATGATGATTCGGGATGTTCGATGAGTCGGGTTTCCAAAAGTTTCTTCAGCAATTCATACACTTTGATCGACAAGTGTGGTGCAACAGATCGGGAACGTTGAGCGACGGAGTACGCCTCTCCAACATCCAAATCACAGGTAACACCTCGCGCTGGGGCTGGAACCGCATTCTCATCTCCCTAGAAGATGGCACGATGGTACTTCAAGATAGCTCGCAATTTTCGCTCGTCTTTCGGAGTACTCGTTCCAGGTTCACCAACATCAGCCGAATCAATATCACATTTCGGAGATGGTTCTTCGATATCCGGAAGCAACGCGAGTTGTTCCAGGAGTTGTGATAATGTTTCACTCCCTTCATGAATATAAACCGCGGGCTCGAAGTCCAACTCTTCAGCACGAATGGCACGTTCGTACTCTAGCTCGAGCTGCTGAACTGGCGTACAAGCTATCACCGACACCTGCAGGTCCGAAAAGACATCATCCTCGTGACACGAAGTGATTTGAATTTCTCATGGAAGCAAGAATTTGTATGAAACCAGGAATTAGGTAATGGATACAGGATTGCCAAGTGTGAATGTGTGGAAAGAAAACTGACTATGGAACGTGTGAGAAGCGATTGACCTGGAGAAGAGCTAAGGATGGGCCTTAGAGTCTGGAAGCACCATGATGCTCAGTCCAGACTCGCCCTCGTCGGGTACTTATGATTGTGAAAAGTGTTGATGCAAACGTATTGCATCGAACACCCCGTACTGTCTTAGTTCAGCCCAGAAAACGTCAGCCCCAGGCTCAAGAACGTTATCTATAAGGACTATTTGCACACAAGACTCACGATCCAAGAAGAGATGGACAACAGATGGAGTGGT